ATCTGCACTTTTATTTCCATGTAAGCGGCAAGTCCACGCAGCGGAGATGATGATGATGGGGATGCACTGGGAAAGATAGTTTGGCTTAAGAATTTTGACTATAAAAATAATATTCATTTTTAATCCTTAAAAAACGATTCTTTATAAGTTTAAATATCTGCAAACTTCTTAACACTCTTAAACTTAAGAGTAGCATGAAAGTGCTTTCTGCAATCTGATTTTTGATATATTCAGGTTGATCTTTCTAAACGAAAGGTAAATTTGCATCTGCTTTACCATTTTATTTAAAATTTAGAGTAAAATATGGAAGTTTTTAGAAACGATACATATTTTAAGGATACACCATATTCTCCTTATATTATATTAGTAATTCAAACACTACCGAAAGACAACATTTCTTAAGCTTTCTGTTTCATATTAAAGTGCATTTATACATATAACAAATTAACAATGACAATTTCTCTCTCTGTAGTCAGGGGAAGGGAAGTTTTAGGGGAGTTGTAAGCCGAACAAGAGGCATGCGTGTGGCATGAAGAGGGGTTAGGGAAGGGAAAGGGAAAAGAAGGGCAGATGAAAGGAGAGCAGGGGTAGCTGTTTTGCTATTTTCTTTTTTTTTCGTTACTATTTTGCACATTTTTCTATTCAACAATGAAGCCACAATAGAAAACGTCAACTAGTGCACAGAGAGAAAAGATGATGGGATGGGATAACTAGGGGGGCGTGGCGGCAGGAGGCGGCTTTCTTTAGAACAGAGAGAGATAGTATTATATGCAAATGTAATGCACAAGCGAGAGGGCAACACTTGATGTGCATACAAAGTCTGAACGGATTTTGAATGGCAAACAAGCGGCAAAGCGAGCGGTGACTGCGACTGCAACTGCGGCAGAGGGAGAAACAGAGACAGAGGCTGAGGCAGAATCAGAATCAGCGGCGGGCGCCAAGTATAAAGCCCAGGCCAGGCCCAGGGTAAACCCAAACTGAGCTAGCCAAGCCAGGAACGGGAACTGGGTCCGGGAAACGGGCAAGGGCACGGGCGGGCGCTAAGCAACCACACTGCAAAACCATTGAAAAATTAAAGAGTATTCTTATGCAACTAGAAAAACTCATTAAAAAATAATGTCTAAAGTTAATTTTTTAAGCCAAAAATATTTTCAATCACTTACTTCCTGAGATTCTTAGGTTAAGCCTTCTATGATTGATAAGCCTGCATTGCTCTTTCAATAACTTTCAAAACCTTTTTTCACACTGTGATTTTAAAAACTAACCCCTCTCCGATGAAGCGTTTTAATCCGAATATTTGATGGCGATTTTTCGCTTAGTGTGTGACTGGGACAGACCGTGAATGGGCGCTGACGACTTGCGCATGAATGGCCCAAGTGTGCTGCCTGTCGGTGGGAGAGGGGATATAGGGGGCTGAACGGGTGGGGGGCTATATAGAGAGCGAGCGGATAGACAGACGAAGGCCTATAGAAAAGTGACGTGCGCTTTACAATTATTTCGTAATGCAAGCAAATGTGACCGAGCTGAGCAGAGCAGAGAACGAAAAGCGCCAATAGAAGCTCAGTACACTCGAAAAAGAGGGCTTCTGATTAAATTGGGTTGCCTTTGATTGATTAGGCTTTGAAGAGCATCAAGCAGGCACTGTTAAGCGATTCTGGGTCCCCAAGAACTTACTAAGAAACTCTCAATGGTATGGTAAAGGTGAAAGGAAATAAAATGTCATTTGCAGACCTTAACTGAGGATCTAAGATGTACTTAGGGAGATGTTCACAGTCAAGCTGCCTAGAACCTAGGGACTTAACAGCCTAAATTCCAGACAATCTTCTTCAATATCTACGTATTATTCTCAAACTCATCTTAGTCAAGGATCTGCATACAGATTTATTTCTCAGAGTGCAGATTAGAGTTGGCTCTTAGGCTCAGGCAGTGGGTGACAAATGTCAGTCGGTGGTTGCTCTACTAATCGGACATGTTGCGTTGACTTGTTTATGACTCTGGGCTTAGCAGCCACATACTAGACCACGCAAACCACCCAGTCAACCAAGCAACCAACCCAACGGCCCACTAAGAATGAATTGTCTGAGGGGGCGAACTTGTGGGAAATCTGTAAATAGCTGCGAAAACTGCATAAGCCGGGTAGTGGAAGCCCAAAGCCTGGGGATCTGGATAGACAAAGGCAAATGTCATCAAAGTTGGCACCCGCGGGAAAATGAATGCGAAGCCCGAGGAGCATATGTAAAACAATTGACTAGGGACATCACTGCGTATGCGTAATCTTGTGCAATTTGTTCAGCTGAACTCTTTAAACTGCGTTTTAACGTTGACTTTGACACTTTCCCACCATATTGCCCGCTTCCCCTCCGCTGGATGGCTTTCCATTTGGGTTTTTCTATCTATTTTTCTATTTTGTTTGCAATTACGCGTCACACAGCTGGACACAGCCAAACGCAAAACCAGAGCCTCGGCGCACAGATTTGCAGTGTGGGACAAGGTCGCATTTATTTGGTGCACTTGCAATTGGCCAGAGGTGTGGTTTGGTGGGGTGGTGGCTTGGGTGTCATGCTGCGACCGAAGGTCACCTGCAGTGCGCCCCATGCCCACAGACAATGTTGCCAGTTCGGAATTATTATGAAATGAATACAAATATTTGTGGATCAGTCAGCGGCGTCATCCTTCAATTGGTGGGCAGGTTCGGGGGTTTGTCAATGGGTGCAGTGGAGGGCAGTGAGGCAGATAGATGGTTGACAAAGTGGCCACCGAAATGTGATGGATGATCTCAGCAAGGCAATTAAACAGAAATCTTGGGTTAAAATTATGAAATTTTTGAGTTAAATCATTCAAAAAGTGAAATTTAAGAATTAAGTTTATACTTTTATAAATCCAGCAATTGATTGCACTTAAAAAGTCTTTGATTGTCACATTTCTTCGTTTTAAAAAAATGTCTTTGCCATTTATCAGTTATTTTTTGCATTGTCTCTGCTTCTCCACTTTTCCATGAAGATTGATTATTTGCAAAAGGCAGAGGCCTGAATCGAAGCCAGGCAGAGGAACAGGAAAATTCCAAACGTTGATTAATGACAAATTGTTTTGGCATCGTCTAACGTGCAAAAAGTTTTGGGTTTCCTGTCGAGCTGCAATTCGAGGCCTATTTTCATCGGGGAAAACTGTGCAAATTCAGTCCGAAACGAAACGGTTCTGCAGTGCTGTTACTTTTTGCCTTACCTTGCAGACAGCCCAGCCAGCCCAGCCAGCCCGGCCACCCACTCAACCGTTTTCCACCCATCTGCCACCCCGTTTTCCAGCTGTTGTTGTTGACGCTTCTTCCGTTCTTTGGTTTAGTTTTTCTTTTAGCTTACTTTACGCTTTTGTTGCTGCCGCTGTTGCATTTGTTGCTGCACATTTTATTAACATTTTCATTTAGTTTTTCCCTCTCTTTCTCTCTCTCGCTCTCTTTCTATCTCACTCGCTCTTTGTATTTCCCCTTTCATTGCAATTTGTGTTCCTATGCATTTTTGTGTGTGTTTTACATTCGTTTTCGTGTCGCCAGCAACATTGCCTCCAACTGCATTTGCCACGCCCATCCTACTTGGCGGACCACCACCCACCGCCCAATGACCCACCCACCAGGCCCTCTTAGCCCGGTCCACTTCCCTTTATGCCACTGTTGCGCTCTTTTGCAGTTTGTTGAAGTTTTCATAATCATTGTCGTCGTCGTCGTAGTCGTCGTCGCTGCTTTTCCTCTAGCTACTGTGTATTTCCACCGCCTACTTTCGTTTTGGGCACAGCCTTTGCCTTTTGTTTTCCACACGCTTTCCCTGGGGAAAAGCCTATTTCCATTCGGGGCTCAGTTTGTCGGCGAAGAAAGTTCATAAGTTCATTTCAAGATGGTTTATCGCTTAATTTTCTTTATTTACTTTTATAATTTCTTTAAGATATATGAGTTGTTTGTGAAAAATGGAGATACAGATATATGGCTTTGGAGGGAAATTCACGAACGTTATGTCTTTTTCTTAAAATGTTTTTGTTAAGCATGAATTATAAATTTAGTTTTTGAATTACTTTCTGCTTTGAGAATTACATTTAAGGTTTAAGAAAAATAAGATAAGATGACAAAATTGTGTTCTATGAACTAAACAGCTCTTAATCCATTCATAAACATGACTCTACTTTGGATTTCCATAAAGATAATCATTGGCTAACTTATTAATATATTTCATTATATATCAGACACTTCCTTGTTGAATTTTAAGTTTAGTTTTAAATTCTTTTATAATCTTTTAATACAAATCCAAAAACAAGTAAAGGGACTTAACCTTATTTGCTCATAAAAACCCTTTAAAAAACTGATTTAAATTTGCTTTGAATTAATATTTCATCATAATGAGAAGTGCATCTCAACAGTCTCCTAATTAGGGCCATGCTACTATCATCTTTTTTGTTATATAAGCCGGTGCAGCGGCTGGCTGGAAAATGGGTAAGCAGAAGGAGATAGGGGAAAGGGTAAAGGGGGCTACAAACGAGACAGGGTGGAAAGCTGGGAGTGAGTGGGTGAGATTTCCAGCATGAAAACAATGGCGGGAAAGCGGCTTATTTTCTATGATTTAAATAATGATGAAGACAGCAGACAACAGACACCAGGCAGTGGCAGTAGCGTCGGTAGCTACCGCAACTGGAACTGCAAGTGCCACAGCTGATGATGATTGAGATAATGGTAATAATGACGAGGGCGGGGATGATGAGCTAACTGTCAGACCTACGACAATCTGAGCTACCTTTTCTCCAGTTAAAATGCCAAAGAAGTTCGTCGAGGAAGTGTCCATTGGACGTTGGAGCTGATAAAAGATCGCTCAGCTCCCGCTGTTTGTTTGTTGTCTTTTGGCCAGGCCATAACATTTATCTAGTTTTTTGCTTTTGTTTTTACTTTGCCTTTGAATCTCGTACATATAGCTAATGCCTCATTTATCTTATACCTTCCTTCTCTTGGCTCTGTTTCGTTGCAGAAAAATGTTCATTGGCGGCCTCAGTTGGCAGACAAGTCCAGGTGAGTGAAAAACGAGTTAAGTGAAAATTAGTGGATCTCTGCTAAAAATTGGCTTCTGTCTGATAAAAGAGGTCAATTAGCAGACGAGTTAAGTGGCAATCCTGTGCTAACAAGCCACCAGAAAAGGTGTAAAGTCACTTAAAAACTTTTCGTGACTGGAAAACTATTTTTAAAAATGTTTTAAGAGTGTTTTTAATTATATGTTAGGAGAATAAGAAAGTAAAAGAATAGAAGTTATTTGTTTATTTTAAAAATAATCCTAAATTATTCACATAAATTATAAAATAAATCATTAAAAATATTAATAATAATCTTAATTCAACCATTTTAAAACTCTATTTATCAAAAAAGAGCACAGTTTTATGATATTTTTGAAACAAAAACCAAATATAAATCCAATTTATTAGTTTAGAATGTTACAAAAATGGCAAATTATCTAGAATTTGTGATAGTATTATTACCTTTTTAAAAGTTTTGGAATAATTCCAATGCTTTTTATAAAAATTAAGAACGACCTTTTAAGGTTTTAATCAATCTTACATCTACGTCATAAGAGTGGGTTCTTTTTCGTAATTTTTTAACAGATAAAACCCCAAGTTCAATCTCTCTAACTACTCCCTTTTGATTTCTCAACTGAGAAGTGAATTTCCCAACATCCAAAGATGTTTGTGGACTGAATTTTGTATCTCAATTTGAATGGCCTAGGAATTGATTTGGTTTCAGTTTGTGTTTTATGTGATTTCACATCGAGAACAATGAAACGACAGTCGGGGCTTTGTTTAAATTGGAAATTGTAATTGATCAAATGCTTGAGATTTGCTCCCTTTTTCGAATTTGAATTTGACGTCAATTGCTGGAACGACTTGAGATACGAGAACTGCGGGTGCCGAGACTCAATCTCTGAGAGAATCAGTATTAACCCCTCAGTTAGCCATAGCCGCATAGTTTCATTAGGCTAATCAAAAGGCAAGTTGCCATCAAAGCTCCGGCGGAATGCATATTAACCGAATTTGGAGGGCACTCGAAAAAAAGGGTCTGCAAAGTAGAGATTGCAACCGTCTGGCAAGATGCGCTTGCCTTTTGGGAGCCCTTATATGTAGTATCTGCAGTGCTCACAAAAATCAACAAAAAAAAAAGAATATTAGGAAAGAAGAAAACCCCTTACCATATAGCACATATATATATATATCTACGAGTATATCGCCGCTTTGTGTTGTTGGTGGGGCCCGCTTGTTTTTTGTTTAGCGAAATTGTTGGCTCCGCCCATCATCAGAGTGCCACTCGGCATTACGCTAACATATTATAACCTATAGCGCATATCTACACACAGATATCTCTGTGTGTGTTCGGATATTCACGTATATAGTTGAAGAGTCAATGCGGTCTTTGGTTTGTCTCTTTATTTTAGCCTTTCTCAATGTTTTCCCCGTTCTGGGGCGGGGGCGTTGCGAGGGGCCGGGTTTCCTGTACCTGTGCCAAAAAATTTTCAAATTTTCAAATGGCTTCTTCAATACGAACGAATGCCGCTTTTCCCGCTACCCCCCCTCCTTTCAGTATGAGTGTGTTTTTGCTCGGCTCTTTTGTTATCTTTTGCCATTTCGGTGTCCGATATGTGTGTGTCTTATTTGTTTTTTAATTTTTATTTTCGCTTCTTGGCAGCCGCCAGTTGGCCCCATGGAGCTGGTAAATTAGGCAAAAGCCAAAGGGCCAACACAGAAACTCAGCACAGGGCCAAAAACCGAACCGCTCCCAAAGCCAACCAGAAAAAAAAGAGTCTTTGGCGGAATTCGAGACGGAGCAGAAGTCAATTGGAATGGAAATTGCAGCGAAGGGTCAATGAGTGGCACGTGAGTCGATCAAAAGGCATTCTCGCGAATGGGTGAATTATTATTCTTAAATATTAAGTGGCTGTTCTTGGTTATAGTCTGAGTTTCTTAGATTTTATCCTTAAATAAGTTCGATTATCTGTGAGTAAAACTGATTTGAAAAGGCCTTTCGCGTTAAAGCTGTGTATTTCAAAAGATACTTTTTATTTCTTAGGGATAGTAAACTAAAATTACATAAATTGAACATTAATCAAGATATTTTTAATTGGTTTATCCTTAAACTAGTTCAGTAATGCATTAAGCCCTTACATGCCTTTAGTTTTAACTTTAACTTTTCAAGGCATGCAGATAAACAGGAAATCAAGATCCGAAATGAATACCTTTTGATAATCCTTAAGAAGGCAAAGTTATTAATGTTTTATAGTATTCTAATTTAATTTTTAAATCCCAAACCAATCTGTAATAAACCGATTATGGTCGAGTATCGCAGTCTTTACTTTGTTTTGTTTCCCATAGAAAAGCAAACAATTCAATTAGCTGCCATTTGAGCGCAAGGAAACAAGCTTTTTACCCAAGTCTGAGCTTAGAGATGCCCTGGCAGTCTGTTTCTTTCCTGGCACCTGCATCCCACTCCCCCCGAAACTCTTGGGCACTAGCAGTTGTATTATTGTTAGCCAAGTTGCAGCTCTGGCGCTGAAGGCAGAGGCCGGAACAGCAGAACACCAGAACGCCCGGCTCAAGTGGCTCCCACTTCCACTCGCGCCAAAAGCTTATGCTTTGGATTTTTCGCAGCTATCGCCACTCGAGCACACAGTCCCAGAAACAGCAGAGGTCGGGTTATTAGTTCTAGAAGTTTTTGAGATATTCATTAACATTATTTTTATAATAGTTTAATATATATATATATATATATTATAATAGTTTTTAAGTTGAGAATGATGAAGGATTTATCATCTTTTCTTCTTGTTATAAATATAAGGTAGTGAAAGCATAAAAATATGCAATCATAGATATGAAATTAGTTTTGAAACCCTCGAAACTTGAGATAAACCTTTCAGTTTTGAAAATAAACCATAATCAGGATTCTTGTGCCTCCTACAAAAAGTTTAATTCCGAATTAGTCGTTTTATTATTCCTATTACTTCAACCTCTGGTGTTGCTGCCTAAGCCCAGCGTCTCCTCCCGCACAGTACATACTCGAAATCTGCTGACAAAGACCTAATCTAGGGCGTCTATAAACATGCGCTCGGGTCTAGCGTATAACGTATATAACGTATACGTATAACGTACAGGGTCTAACGGCATAGTTAGGGCTGCTTTAGACAGGTCGGACTCGCTGGCGGGATCTCTAAAGCTGAGTTTGCCGACTGCGTACGTGTTGATAACTGCAGAGATGATGACTGGCTGAGGATGGCGATGATGATGACGATGATGAGGGGCAGAAGGAATAGAAGCATCCGCATTGCAGTGGGAAGGCCCGAAAGCACTCAGAAGCGTTTTTGACTCTAGCTGGGCCGAGATTTTTAATGATTGGCACGATTGTCTTAGCTACTTAATGACGTTCTCGAGTGCTGCCAACCGCCCCCGATAGGTGCCGCCTTTGTGATGCTTTCGTGTCAACTAGCAAGTCATATGCTCTCCGTATAACTTAATGAACTTTGCCGTCTGCAGCCCAGCCTCTTTCTCAGAGTCCCCTTCCCCCCTCGCCCTCTGGAGACGTAATTTAATTTTAATTTCGCAAGCAGTTTGCTGGAAGTAATTGTATGCATTGAAAATGTATTTGCTGCTATCGCCTGGAAACACTCGTCGCCAAAGTCTTGGCTTGGTATTGGGATTGGGATTGGGATTGGGACAGAGTCAGAGTTCTCCATTCATCTATATGTACATATGGATATGTCTGGGCTGAGAGGCCTTCGCCTGGCCTTTTGTGTTTGTCTCCCTACCTCGCGATTTGTGTCAACTTTAACAACATTTTTGAAATACAATACGCGACCCGCTCCGCATTTTGCTATTTTGGATGTGCGTTCAACTGAAATACTATTTATATATGCACCAAAGATACAGATACATTTGCATCTGCGGAACGGTACGGCACATTACTCATGCAACAAATAACCAAATAAAGAGTCGAAGACAGGAAAAAAAGCATCCAGAAAAGTGAATTGATCGAAGGAAAAACAAAAAAAAAAAAAAAGGAGAAACAGAAGGGAAAAGTGCGGAAGACAAAAAGCAAGGAAAATCTATGCATGCATATCGCTCACATTTCGATGCCGCTTAGCGATAAAAGCGCCACCAGAAGCCTCCACCCGAAAGATACTTTGAGCAAATAAATATGCATTTCTCGATTTACCCCTCTCGCTTTTTATTATTATTATTATTATTGTTTGTTTGTTTGTTTGTTCGTTGGTTCGTTCGCCCGTTGGTTCGTTCGTTTGTTTGCCAGCTTGTGTCATGCAAATGAAAATGAAGCTCCTGCTCCAAGGAGAGCTTCTGTTTGCACCGAGCATTATGGCTGTGTGCATATCCCGGCTTATTTCTCTCTAGCAGCGATTCTCCTTTTGACGCCGCCAAATTGTCCAGGTAAAGTCAATAGATGGCTGAAAAGAGTTCAAAAGGTTGGTGCAAACACCGCCGGGGGATTGTCTATCATGTGTCGGTGTCGGGGGTCATGGAAACGGTGGCAAGTAAGCCGTTTTTTTCGCTCAATGACTGCGAACTGCCGCTGTCGCTCGATTCTCTCGTATATTGTAACCCACGCTTAGATTGCATTTCTAAAATTTCATTTACACTTTTAAGTATTTTTTTATGAATTTAAAGGGAAGTTTAAAAACTAGAGGATCGCCTACAAACTGGGCCTAGGAGTGCTGTGAATACAATATAATAGAATTTTTAAAGCAAATGTTTTTAGAACATGTTTTGGGCATTCGTAAACCGGAAGCCAAATAGAAACCCATAAAGCTTCTACACATTTTAAACCCTCACTCTAACCGGTAATTGAGCACTTAAGAAACGGTTTTAGTGCGAAAACCATTTACGCGCAGCAATTAAAGTTTCAGCTAACATTCTAAACTAGATTTGCGCCACTCTATGACTCTTCAATTTGCCAACTAATACTGAATACTGTCGGTCGATTGCCACCCTCCCAGTGGCAATTCAATCAGGAAACAAACGATG